TGCAGACTTGCCTGGCCCATTGATGATGACCGCACAACCTCCCAGTCCCTGGGCTTGGGTTCTGCTCTTACTGCATTGGGGACAAACAGGTGAACTTTGGCTCTACGTCTGAAGTCGTTGCTGATTGATGTGGGGGAAATCGCTTTTGTCCCAGGTACAGGAAAAAATGCAGAGATGTGAAATTCCAGGCTGCTCCCAGGAGCTGGTTCCAAATATCCATAATTTCCTGTATACGTTTTGAATTCCAAGTCTTGCTGATATTTCAGTGCCAAAGAGCTGGTCAAGGTGAATACGATAGCTTGGCAGGAAAAGGCCCTGGAAGAGATGGGAAGGCAGGAAGTGGCTCTAGGACACGGTGGAAAAAGCAAACCTAGTGAATGATTGACTTTAACCAGCTGCCTTTCAAAGCTATTGCTGTGTCTCACTTCGTGTCTTGCTTCAGTTTAACCACCCCTGTTACAAGGCTAGGGGGATTCTTGAGCTGAGACCCTTCTGTGCACACCTGCCATCTGCTTTCTGTGGGGCCAGCGAGCACCTTAATAGCAAAGGCTTGTCCGTGTGGGCTGGGGCTGCATTCTTAACTGTTCATCCGAGGGGTCGTGCCCCTGTGGCTTATGGCCTGGTCAGTCTACAGCTACAGAACAGGGTCTCCTTCGCCTAGTTCATTGGGCAGGTCCTTGCCTGGGCTCCACTATGGAACCCATTCACTTGAGTAGCCACTGTCGGGGACTGAGTTATTTAGAGACTGATGCAGAAAAACACTAAATTAAATGTACCAGGATCTCTCATTAACAGCATTCTGATCAGGGTATGGCTGTTAGTTATAATATAATATATGGAGATATACCTATCTCCTAGAACTGGAAGAGACCTTGAAAGGTCATCAAGTCCAGCCCCCTGCCTTCACTAGCAGGACCAATTTTTTGCCCCAGATCCCTAAGTGGCCCCTTCAAGGATTGAACTCTCAACCCTGGGTTAGGCAGGCCAATGCTCAAACCACTGAGCTATCGCGCCCCCCCCCCCCCCCCACGAGTCTGGCCACAGTGCAGCTGCTTGGCTTCCCAGCTAGTCACCTGGAACCACAGCCCTCCCCATACCTCTTGTGATGCAGCCAGGAACACTTACTGGCCCTCCAGGGTTATGCTACGGTGTGGCCCGCTCTACAGCTGAAGGTCCCCCAGCCAGGAAGAGTGCCATTCCTAGACGCTCCTGTCTGACCAGCCGTCTGTCCCGTGTCCGTCCTTCCCCTCCCCTCCCCCCCCGCCCCCCCCCAGCACCAGGAGGAGCAAAAACCCTCTCCCAGCTCAGGCAGTGCCTCTGAGGCACTGGTCAAATCGCACGAGTCCCAAAGTCACAGGCTTCCTCCCTGTGCGGCCTTTGACAGCCAAAAACTGAGTGGGGAAAGCAGCTCCCTTGTTAACTGGATACACGGCCCCGCTGGGCTGGGCTGGGCTGGGCTGGCAGCTTACGGAGAAGTGGATCGGGACTAACTTTTCCTACACCCCTTCCTAGCGTGGAATGGGAAACGCTTTGTGTTTCTAAACCGAGATCCGCGCAGTCCCTAAAATGCAGCATTACATCTGTATGCAAACTAGCCTGTGTAACCCGCCGCTGGAACCCTTGTCTGGAATGGCCAGAAAGCTGGGCGTGGCTTTGGGTGGTGGGACAGGACCTTCCATTACTAGGCTGGCTGGGCTCTTACTTATTTTTTGTGCTAATTTCCTTGTGCCCCAAGAAAATCACTACTTTAAAACCCCCTCCCCCCGGGTTCTCCTGGGCCCAGGGTGCTGCTTACGCTGAATGCAACTGAAAAAGTTCAGAGGCTTCTGTAGCTCCGAGTTCCTGCTCAGCAGAAAGGTTCCCGGCCCCCCGACAGCGGGGTGGTGAGAGAGAGAGAGGGGCTCTTGGTATTCTAGCCGTATGTAGGATGCGCTAGTGGCTACGCTGGGCAGACATTGACCCTTCCAAAGGCAATTCAGCATTTGGCATATGGCTGGTGTGGCTAAGATGGGATACTGCAGACCAGCTCTGAAGAACACTGCCGTGAAACACTTGGGATTCAGGACTGAGTGGAATATACAGAACATGTAAATCTGGTGACTTTGTTCAAACCACCTGAGGTGCCTTCTTTTCTCCTTATTCAACCCCTCAGAGCTGGGTGACTGGATAAATTGCCCCAGTCAAAGGGCTTTGCCATCCGAGCTGTGGGTAGCTGGTGAATGCTCTGCCTGAGATGCTGAACTGGAGAGCTGTTCTGTGTATGTGAAGCTGGTATCCCGAGTAACCTAGGATGCTACATCACCTGCTTTCACATTCTTCCACTTGCAGCTAAAACCATTTTCAGCCGTCATGAAAGAGACGACATGGGAATTACTTGCATATATTGTAACGTGCATTTTCTGAAACCAGTTTTCTGGAGGCTTCGGCTGCAAGGAGCTGAAGCTGGTGATGGATCTGAGCAGTGTCTGTCTCTGGATGCAGTCATGTAGTACAGCGACTAAGATGGGAACAGCTTGGGTCACCCTAGAATTCAAGGGGTCTCGTGTCCCGAGCTTGGTGTGATCATTCGCTGCTGGAAGCGTGGTGGTGTCCTGTGCAGTACTGTTGTCTGAAGTTAGCGGTGGTCTCCTGCCCAGCACCTGCGCATGCCAAACAAAGGGTCCCTTCACCCTACCTAGAGATGAATGCCTGATAGATCCATGACCCCAAATACAGGAGATGGATTTAGAGTGAGTTTAAGGTCAGAAGGGACCATTAGATCATTGTCTGTCTGAGCTCAGGCCACCATCCAGCCACAGAAATCATTGCGGCCCCAGGAGATTGGACTGTTCCGGGCCCCAGGTGGAGAATGAGGCCCTGGGGTGCCCCGGTGCTTGAGGCTCCTGCAGTGGTAGGGAAACGATTAAATGAGCCTCTCCTAGCAGACTCTCCCCATTGAAAGATGCTAAATTGGAGAGGGTTCAGAGAAGCCCTGTCTTGGTGCTGGAGCTCCATCCATGCACGCTGCCCAAGAGAAGGGTCAGGGTGGACTTGATCACTGTGGAAGTACCGACCTGAGGAACAACTATTGACAATGGGCTCTTCGATCTAGCAGAGAGGTCGGGCAGGATCGAATGGCTGGAAGCCGAAGCTAGACCAGTTCGGCTGGGAATGAGGGTAATGAGTCCAATGGTTAATCTAACATGGCGTGTGGTGGATTCGCCGTCACTGACCATTTGTAAATCCAGGCTGGCTGTTTCTCTGAAAGCTGCTGTAGGAATGATTTGGGGGTGTCTCTGGCCCGTGCTAGACAGGAGGTCAGACTGGATGCTCATAGTGGTCCCCCTTGGTTTTGGAGTCTGTGAATGAACGAGGTTATTGCTGACAGTTGTAAGGCTCTAAAGAGCATTTTACCCCCAGAATTCAGTCCCTAAAGTTGATGCAAACTAGTTCTGTAGGAAAAACCTTCGTGATGGAAAAAGTAGAGAACAGCAGCGTGTGATGGGCCGGATTAGACATGGAGTCCAAAATGGAGGCCAGGATTGCCAAACGAGGTAGGCTTGTGCCAGTAGCCAGTTAAAGCGTGCTGTTTGGGGAATTCCGGCCTATGGCAGATGTCCGGGACTGGTTTGGTTCTCGTTCCTAGCTGCTCCGGTCTGTACAGATTACTTGGAACCCGCTGCGGCTCATCCATGCCTCCCTGGGTTTGTGGAGGACGTGGCTAGTCCATCAGGGCTCCTGCAAGAAGTGGGAAGCTGCCGGCAACAAGCAGCACGGTCTGTCGTGCACCTGTGGAGCAGAAACCCTCTCGGGGTGGGGAAGGGCATCTCCGCGAGGAGCAGCTGCACCCATTGTTCTTTAGCTAGTCTCCTTCATGCTTCCTTACTCCCCCTTCCTGGGAGCCCGTGCGGCAGCTGCCCCAGGTGGGGGATCAAGCGTATGCCCATAAAAGGGGATGTCTCAAAGTGGCTAACCCAGCAGCTGCCATTGGTTTAGTGCATTCTGCGTGCAGAGGTTTTTCCCTTTATCCAGCTCGTGTTGTTAACGCACCCTCTGTGCGTCTGCTCCAGGAGGGAGGGGGAGAGCTAGATAAAGGACACAAATAAATACAAGGCAAAACTGCTGAAGAAATTATTTCTTTCTTTAGCAGTCATGTGTATCCATTTAATTTCCATGTGTACAATGGTTCATTCTATATTTTCCATCATTAGTCTGGATTCTGGACAACGCTGGAGAAAAGATTATATATTGTCACTAAGGAGAGCCAGGATCTTTTGGGGGTTTTTGCGGTTACACAACTTTTGCTGCAGAACATGGCGAGTGCATTTACAACAGCAGAAGGAACTTTCCTTGCTCAGGAATTCTGCGCACACGCAGTATTTCTGCACCTAGAAAGGGCTGCGTCCAGTCCCTCCAAAACTGTGGAACCTCCTTCACCACAGCTTCGTCGTAGGGCTACTGGCAAAGTTAATAGCATGAGCACAACGGTCTTGGGTTAAAAGTCCCTGACTCTGAGCTGTTCTTTCTAAGGGATTTTGTTTTCTTTACCTGTGTGGTAAACACATTCCTCTTTCTTGTATGGAAGCCTAAGATTTAGCCATTACTAATATTTGTTTTGTTCTGACAGGATAACGTATGTTTCCCATATGTTGCTCTCTGCTTGCAGCAAAATAATCCCTACCAATAAAATATTAATGCGAAAAAACCCAACCCCCTTCTTATAGTAGCTCTGGACTTCTTCACTTTTCAGTCTGTTGTCTTGGATCACTTTAATGGCAAATGTCCTGGTGGAAATGGAAGTAGCCGTGAGTTATGGGTTTGTCTCACTCCAGCTAAAGCCCCCTCATAACTCATTCAGTCCTCAGGTACCCTCGCGCCTCTGAGTAACCCCATGCGCCACTGTGCAAGATACTGTCCTGCACGGCGGGGTGCAATGACCAGCGCTCCCCCCCAGCAGCTGCTCCTGTTCGCTGCAATACAAACAAGTCGCATGCAGAATCTGTCTCTCTCTGTCCGTCCAGCTGTGCGGTGGAAGCCCTGAGCGCCATGCTGACCCAAGGGGGCAGTGACGAGGTGGTGAAGTCCGTGGGCAGTGCGGGAGGCTGGGAGCTGATGAAAAGCCCTGAGAGGCACCACGATGGCATTGCTCTGCTTGCAAGGTAAGAGGAGTTCTTCAGGCAGGCTGGGATCAGCAGCAGAGTGCACGGGCTGCGTGGGATCTGCTGGAGCAGGGCAGCCCCCGGGAAACAGGGAGCTAAGCAGGACCAAGGGGGGGGCTGGGAAGGGTGCCGTGGCACCGCACATCTCAGTGCTTTGGGACCCACGTTAGTCCTTTAGATCTGGAGCGAAATCCTCCCCCCGGCCTGCACGGGGCCATGTGCGAGGAGTGGCTGACTGGGGTGGACAGGTCTCGGCCCTGCACGGTGACGTATCGAAAGCTGACCTGAAAGATCGGAGCCTTTTCCATTAGTGCGCTGGGCAGCATTAGCAGCCCGACTACGTATTTCTGTACCCCTTCCAGTGTCCAGCCGCGGGCGAATGGCCAGGCTGGGGCAGGGCGTGGGCGGCCCGTGTGGCGCTCCGGGCACAGGAGTGATGCCTACTTCAGTGTGGGCTGTGCCAAGCCCCACGGAGCCTGTTGGCTGGATGTGCAGGGGGCGGTTGGGACAAAGGGCGACTGCAGCCGCCGAGCTCCAATGGGGGGCAATGGTGGGACAGTGCATCAGGGCCAGGGCTTGGTAGCACTGGGCTCCTGGCTTGTGAAGCGACCTGCAGCTTCCCCGCTCCCAGTGCCAGCTGGCTACCCTTGTGGGCAGCCGGCAGCCCCGGGCCCAGAGGAGGGAGGGCGCTGCAGGCTGAGCGCTGGGGTTCGCATGGCTAATGGCGGCAGCGCCCAAAGGGGCGAGATGGGGAATGCGAAGATCAAAGCTACTGGTGCCTGGAAGGCAAGGACAGGCGCTTGACCTGAATGCGGTGGAGCAGGGGAGCCGGACTCTCGGCAGCTCGTTTGGTCTGGATTGGAGAGTGGTGGCGGAGGGCAGGGGAGGCGAGTTCAGGGGACCCAGACAAGGGCCAGCACGAGGGATCTCTGCACTGACAGAGGACACGGGTCACAGCTTAGATGTCTCCTGTGCTTTGAATCTGAGGGCTGGGAGGTCTCCCGGCTGTAGGCCCTGGAGCAAGGGGTGCCCCGCCTGAGGGTGGGAGAAGTCCCTGCACTGTGGGCGATTGGCCCTTGTTGGGAGGGTGTCCAAGGCTTGGACCGGAGTTCCTGGGCATGGGGGGAGGGGCTCTGCTGGAGAACTCTTCTTGCCAAGACGTATGTTCCAGCTGCCCATCCTGTGCGTAAAGGGCTAGGCAGCCCCGAGCCGGCGTTCCTCGGGGTGCCCGCACAGCTCCTCGCCCCTGGCGCTCAGACACACGGTCGTGGGGCTCGAGGGGCGTTACCCTGGTTTGTTTTGACGACAAAGGGAAACGTCCTGCCGAAGCTTGACCTGGGTTAGGAAGAAGCAAGTGAAACTGTGCGGTGGCTCCTGGCACTTCAGCCTGAGCTCTGGAGGAGGCCAGGAGACCTGTGGCTGTAATCTCCCCGTCAGAGCTGCCGTGTCAGGGTTGGGCGCCACTGAAGGTGGGATGTGCCTGGGCTTGGAGGCCTTTCGGCTGGGCCGCTGCCAGGGCTGGCTCCCGTTGCCCAGGCCCAGCTATCCTGGATTCCTGCTTAGACTGACTAGAACCAGCTGTTCCAATGGGCTCTGACGGGCTACGGCGCCCTTAACGCTGGCCTGGGGAGAGCTAAGGGGTTACGTCGGCAGTGGAGCCGAGCCTTGTGCTACTGAGTTAGGAAGGCAAATGCCCCCTGCCGTGTAACGGGGTGTGTCTCTTCCAGAGCGATGGCTAAACACGCCGGCCCAAAGCTCCCTTTGATTGCGAAGAATCTCTTCCCGATGCTCAACAGCGTGTATGACAGCCAGAGGATCACCACCACGGCCTTCGTCGCTGAGGTGAGCGGGGCCGGGCCGGGCCGTCCCCTCAGCTCCTTGGCATTGGCGGGAGGGGTTCTCAGCAGGCTGGCGCAGCGGAGCAGTCCCCTTCAGCTTCCCTGCCCCTCTGGGAACGGCGTAGACGTGCTCGTGGGAGTCCCGCTCTTACCACATCGGGGCCACACGCCAGCAAGCCCCAACCTTCCCCTTCCTTACATACCGCCGTGAAGAATGAGGTGAGTCAGGCCCGTTCCTGCTGCGAGGCCAGCAGACTGTAGTGCAAACGCTGGGCTGCTGCCCTGGTCTCTGCTCCCCAGAGCAGCGCTGCCTGCCGACAGCACAGCTGGAACCCTGCTCCTAAACCACCTTTGAAATGCTCGGCGGCTGGAGCAGCCTGGGCTTAGGGCCCTGTTTTTATTTTCGGCTTGGCTGGGGGGGCTGCAGGCCCTGCTCTTGGCTGCTGGCCCACAATCTGCTTCAGCTTTCGAGTGCGGTTGGCTCTCGGGCCTTGCAGGGTTTAAAATAGCAGTTTTGCCTCACCCTGGAGCTTGCGGGGAAGGAAGCCGCCGCCTGCGTCTCTCCCCCTCGGAAAGCTGATGAGGTGAGAGCTGCCGTCCCTTCCTTGCCAGGGGCTGAGATGACCAAGCGGCAATGGAGAGGCGTGTCGGCTGGCCTCCAAGCAGCCGGGGCATGGTGCGGAGCCGGGCGTGGTAGAGCTGCCTGGGCATCTGCCGCTGGCTCTCTCCCTTCCCTGCCCCTCTTGAAGTGCGAAGGCCGGCTGGTGTCCCCCCCAGGCCTATCAGTGCTAGGGGAGGGGGTTGTGTAGCACCTCCTCCCCGAGGCCGAAGGGGCAGTGGAACAAGCACCCTGGAAGAGCCAAGGGGCGTGTGGTGGCTCTGGCCTCGCCTCCTCTCAAAGCCGCAAGGTTGGTTTGGGGCAGTCGGTCACAGAAGGACCAGGGGGCTGTGAGCGAGGACCAGTGCTCTGCCTGGATCTACTGAACGCTGCACGGATCCGACCCAGCAAAATGGCTGCTAAAGCCCAAGGGAGCTAGTCCGCCCTCCAAAAGTTCGCTTGCCTGGCCGGTATCCAGCCGGGCAATGAGTGGGGGAGGGGAATCCACCTGGCCACCAACCTGGGGCTGGGTCCCAAAGCTTCAGTGGCTGAATTGCCCCGGCTGGCTTCAGGGAGTGGGGGTAGGTTCTGGAGTCAGTAGCCTGGCTGGCCCAAGCTGCAGCACAAACTAAGGCTTCCCCTGAGCCCCCAGGGCCCCCCAGGCCTCTCCTGCGTGTGTGATGGTGGTGCAGGGACCGACGCTTTCCCTGAGGCCTCTGCAAGGCTGGCCGAGAGCAGCCCCTCTCCCTGGGCGGAGTCGTCTGCCATCACTGTGGCTGCGGCTCAAGCCAGGGATGCAGTCAGTGTGGGTCGTCCCCCCCCCCCGCAAGGCTGCTGCCTGGGGTCTCCTTGGCCAGCTGTTGTGATTGGGTTAGGTCCATAGATCACTATACAAACCCCTGGGGGCTTGGGTTCAAAGGTGTGTGAACGTCTCTGCTCTGCCTCCTAGTCTGTTACCTGTGTATTGGGCATTGCGGGGATACAGTGCCCAGTTGTGGGGAGGGGTCCGAGAAGAGGCCCCAGACTGAGTAAAGGGTTAGAAAACCTGCCGTACAGTGAGAGACTCGAGGAGCTCTGTTTAGCTGAGCAAGGTGCAGGTTAAGAGGTGACAGGATCACAGTCTGTAAGTACCTAGGTGGGGAACACACTTTTCATAATGGGCTTTTCAATCTAGCAGAGAGGCCTGACGCAGTCCGGTGGCTGGAAGTTCAAGCCAGACAAATTCAGACTGGAAACCGGGCCGAGACTTTTAACCACGAGGGCAATTAACCATTGGACCAGTTTCCCCAGGACGGGGGTGGATTCTCCGTCACTGGCCATTGTTAAGTCCTTGCAAAGCTCGGCTCTAGGAAGGTTTTAGGGCAGTTCCGTGACCTGTTACACAGGAGGCCGGACTGCTGATCAGTGGTCCCTTCTGGCCTTGGAATGCGACTCGAACTGTCCCCTGAGTTCCATGTCACAGGGCGGACGCCACCACTGGCCTGTATCTTCTATGAGCTGATGGGCAGGGTGCCGCTTCCTCTTGGCGCACACTCCCCCAGAGGTCCCCAGGGTCTCTATTGCGGGGTGTCTAGCCGCTCCTTGGAGTGGGTTCCTCCCGTGTATGCAGCATCGCTCTCAACTGGAGGGTGTGGGCCTGGAGCCCCCTAGGAGAACCGCCCTGTGATCTCCATTTCGCTAGGTCTCCTGGGACTTCCCGCTTGCTGACCTCCCCGGCGAGGGGTGCTGTGTGCAGTGCTCTCAGTTCAGCTCCACTCTCCAGCCCCTCTTCTTCGGTGAAGAGCTGGGACAGTAGCTGCTAATACCTGGTTCCAGACATTCATTGGCTTTAAACCAGAAGGGATCCTTGTCCTCTAGCCTGACGCTTTGCACGCACACCTGGGCCTTTTGCCCACTATTTCCTGGCTCAAGCCCACAAGAACTTGCTGAGCGAACAGCTTTTTAAAGGCTCCCAATGGCCAAGGAGCCACCAGATCCTTTGGTAAGTTGTTCAGTGGCTAATTGCCCTCACCTCAACTTGTCCCTTATCCCGCTCGAATTTCTCGCTTCGGTTTCCAGCCCCGGGGACGCATAAGGGAGCGAGAGGCATTTGCAGGCACCCTTGTGCAGGGTCTCATCCCAGGACCCTTCCTTGTCCAGGGAGGAGCTAGGGCTGCCCCGGGGGACGGTGGTACTCCGCCCGTCTAAGGAGCTCAAAGCCCTTCGCTGCCCTCCTGTGGGCGGGTCCGTGTAACCTCTGCCTTCTCTCTGGGGAGAAGTCACTGGCTGCTTTGGGCAGAGGGGAGGGGAGAACTGAGGCTGGGTTGCTGCCTGCTGTGAGTAAAGGTGTGTGATACCATGCAGCTCTGCTGGGGAGCCTTTCCTGTCGCCCCTAGGCTAGCTGGCCCCTTGGCCCCCCTCACGTGTGGGTGTGCCCCAGATCCACCAGCTGGCGGCAATGGTGCTGCTTGAGGGCAGCTCTTCTCCACTGGGCTAAGGGGCTATAGCAGGGCTACTGGCCTGGGGCACCTCCTACGCCCGCCTGCCAGCCAGGGCACGGATTAGAGCTCCCTGGAGAGGAGTTCAGCTGTGCAAGGTGGTATGGCTGGGGAGCGTCTCTGGGGTTACCGGTTACGGAGCGAGGCTCTCTGGCCGCTCAGGAGTCCGTTTTACACTGCGTAGGGACAGGAGCGTCCAAGCACTGGACGCGTCCTGCCCCGATGTGGCCTGGCCGGGGAAGATCGCCGTGGAGACTGGCATTGCCTCACACCAAGGCGCTCTGTCCATTCCAGCTTCTGAACAGCAGCGTGGTGAGCGACCTGATCCTGCTGGAGTCCATGATGGATAACATGACGGGCCGACAGAAGGACCCCTGTACGTTGGTGCGCATGCTGGCTCTCCGGGGGCTGGGCAACATCTCCGCTGGGTCGCCGGACAAGGTGAGAGCGCCCGGTGCATTGCTGCATCCCCAGCGCAGCTGGGTGCTGCCGGGAAAGGAGCCCAGGGCTTTGAGAGACCTGGCCTGCTTGGCTCCAGGCTCTCGGCTAGAGCCCGGGGACTTCTGCCTGCTGCCCCGGGCGGTACCTGACCTGTGCTCCGTGCAGGTGTCGGGGGAGGGGCAGGAGTACTGCCAAATCGGGGAAGTCCCCTTGCTCTCCCAAGCTCCACCCATGCATGCAACTAGCAGGGTGCAGCTCTTCGGACAGCACCGCCCCGCCCCGCTGGGACATGTTTGGATCAGCACCGTCGGCTCTGAAGCCGGATTGCTGACACCCTAGGGAGAAGAATGGGGCGGTTAAGACACTCCCCCACCACTATTGTCTCTGGCTCTTCGCAGAGACTCGGGCAGGCACGGATTGATTTGACTCACATTTTTTGAAGGTTTCTTAACTTAAAACATGAGCCCAGTTTCTGGAGCACAGGCTGCAGCCTCCTGGGAAGACCCGAGTTCCCTGGGCTCGGTCAGGCGCCAGCCGAGAGAGGCTGGGCACAGGAAAGACCAGCACACCCCAGGGAGATGCCCTCAGTCTTGGGTCTCGACTGGTTCCTGGTGATTCCTGCGCTAGTCTGTTAGCTAATGGATACCTCCATTGACAGCCGGGGATGCTTATCATGGGAATCCGGCCGGCCACACCTTAGCACGGTGTCTGGCCCTCTCGAGGCCTGTGGTTGGACTTGTCCGAGTCGGGGGAGAACAGACCTCTCCTCTGATGCAGCCAGTTGTGCTGTTCCCAGCCACTGCAGCATGGGAGAGCTCAGTTGCTGGGAGAGGGAGGCGTTTCCAGATACACCTGCAGTGGGAAGTGGCTGTTTTAAAACCCCTTTCCTGTCTGAGAGGCCGCCCTGGAATTTGCCTCCCAGCCCATTGTAGGCCGAGGAGCCCAGCTGACTGTCACGTGACCTGAACTGCCTGCACGAACTCTTCGGGTTTCTCTACCTGCTGTCTAATCTTCGGCAGTACAGCAACTTGGCAAGCGCCCGTTCCTACGCTCAGGCCTGTGCCAAACCCCAGGGAGAGGTCACGGACCGGTCGCCCTTCAGACAGACAATAACCCACTGTGACTTGACACTAAAATATAAGTAGCTACTAAAAATACCATTCTGCTGGCGTAGCTGTAGCCAGTCCCTCCTGTAATAGCATCCGGCTCCTCCGCCTTCCCCTGCAGGGAGCAGAGCAAAGTGCTCCCCAGGCGAGCAGGGACTGAATGAACTTCCCCAGCCGAGAGCCTGGCTGCAAGTACGTACACCTGCTCGGTGTGCCCCAGAGCGGCGCGCCCACCGGCTGTGTTGGCACCAGGCCAGGAGCCGGGGGCTGCATTTAATGCCAAGAAAATGGAGCACACTGCAGGGACTGTCTCTTTATAAGGTCGGTGCCCTGTGGAAGCGACAGGTCCCAGCTTGACCCAAGGCATGGCTGACCTGGCTTGCACGGAGGTGGTGAACTAGAAGTGAAGGGCCCTGGATCCATTTACAGCTGCCGAGGGGCATCCAGTCCTCCAGGGCGCTTGTGGCCAGATGGCCACAGTGTTCCGAAGGCTTTGCCCCACGCTTGTAATACCACGTCAATGACGCTGCAGGCGTTTAGGCTGCAAAAGTCGAGTGGTCAGGATGGCATCCGCTGCTGCAAACGTAATTCAGCTCCCTTGTGCCTGTGCATTATCCTACAGGCTTTAGTTCTGTCCTCACATAGGATTATTCCACAACCTGCACTGATGGAGTAACTGGTAGCAGTAGTATGCTGTTATCCTCTGTGGATTAGTAACTACAGGGGATGATGTGCTTTGCCAGTGGCTTTCTCAACTATCTGCGGACGGCAGAGAAATGGGGAGACTTCGGGTTCCTGGGTTCGGTCCCAGGCTCTGGAGCGAGCAGTGCTCACGTGTACTCCTGCAGGCTTACCCCGTCACTCCCCCTTCATCCCTGTGTGTTCAAATCACATTGCTGATCACCAGCAGGGGGCGCTGAGAGCATAAGTCTCCCTGTATCTGGACCCACAGCAACCCTGGTAGGTGAGAGGCGCAATTCCAAGGGAAGTCCTACAGCTCTGGGCTGGAGCATGCTCAGTGCAAATAGTGTCTTCGGAGAATTTAGCCGCTGAACAGATCTCTACTGAGCATGTGCAAACTGATTTTTTTCTTATCCCTGGGCCAAGTTTGGGCAGATTTTCATGGAGCTGGCAAAAGGCACATCCATGATGCCAGGGTGACCCCTGCCAAATTTCACATCCCTGTACCAAAGCATTGGGGGGCAGGGCAGGAAAATTCCCCCCCCTCCCCCCCACCCCCAACCTCATTCAGCCATTTTTCAGAACTGTTTTAACTGAAACTCGGGCTTGAAAAGAAACAACTCTCAGTTCTTAGTCTGGCAAAGTTACAAGCCCCTGTTTTCAGTTGTTTGCAATAGAAAGTGCTAGTGACGTGTTTTAGAGATGATGCTACACGCTCCACCTAGGAGAAATCCTTCCACGTGGCAGTGACATCATGACCTCCCTGAGTGCCGCTTAGATCCCACCCACGTAGCCCGGCACGTGTCCCACAGCAGGGAGTGCTTCGAATGTGCGACTTCCTTCCGCAGGTGAGGAAACACGGGGCCCAGCTCCTGGCTTCCATGGTCAATGGTATGGACGACAAGGATGATCCCGACAACCTGGTTGCTCTGGAGGCCATGTCTAGCCTGTCCAAACTCCTGGACCACGTGGAGGAGAGGGACATCCGCTCCATGCTTCTCCATATTGCTATCCGCATCCGCCCCTTCTTTGACAACGTAAGGCAGAACCCGGGCTGGTTGGGAGGGAGCGTGAGCCAGGGTGCAAAGGAGAGGAGCCTGCTCTGAAGCGGGGGGTCGGAGTCTTCTCCAGCATCCCTGACATGCTGGGAGGGTAGGGCTGAGGCGGTGTGGAGGAGCACAGCGGTCTAGACCACAAGCTGGTGTTCTCCTGGCAGGCTGTCCTACCCAGCAGAGACCTGGGCTGCTTGGTAGCTAAGCAGGGATCCTCTGAGGCTAAGTTACAACATAAGAACGGCCAGACTGGGTCAGGCCAATGGTCCATCCAGCCCAGTATCCTGTCTGCTGACAGTGGCCAATGCCAGGTGCCCCAGAGGGGGAATGAACAGAACAGGGAATCAAGTGATCCATCCCCTGTCGCCCATTCCCAGTAAATAGAAGGCAGCATCCTAGCTAGAAAGTAGATGCCATCGTGGGCTCCCGCCCTGGCCACAGGGAAGAGTCGGGGAGGGGAGGCTGGCCGTGCTGGTACCAGTGTCCGGGAGTTGCTGGGTTCGGCATCGTGGGGCATTGGCTGGCAGCAGGGCAGTGGTGTTAGCCATGGGACGGGGGTTGGTCTAGCTCGGCGTCCTAGGAGGATGTGCTTAGTGCTCCAGGATAGAAAGGTTGGAGGAGCGGTCAATGCTCTATGGTTACAGTTCCTCTGAGAAGGGAGCAGGCCAGGCCAGTGGTTCTGAGGGCGGCGATGTACCTGCCCTGGGAACGGCAAAGCAGCGAAGGACCCAGACTAGAGCAGAGTAACTGAAGGGCTGAGCGGTGAAGATGACCCGCAGGTAGCTGGAGCGAGTTAGCGAAAGGGGTGGGGGCTTCTCTGAGCACGAGGCAATGGCGAGAGCACAGGGCCTGCTCATGGGACGTGATGAGACTAGTGACCCTGCTCTCTGCACCAGAGCTTACTGACTCCTTCGGAGAGAGGATTGAGTCTGCTGAGATCTCTCCCAGTCTGTGCCCTCTGCACCTGCCTTGTGAGCCCCTCCCTTGCCTCCTCGGGTCAGTCTCTGCTCCTTCCCCTTCCGAGAAGCAGCCGCCTCCCTGCAGTGCTCCTGCCTGTCCATGGATCTCGCTCCCGCCCCCCTTCAAAATATTGACAGGCTCCGATTTCCTCTCTTCCCACTCTGGCTTCCAGTCCGGCTTGTGCTCGACTCTCCGGTCTCGAATGACCTCTTCCTGGCCACGCTTCAGGGCCTCTGCTCTGCCCTGTGCACCCCTCTCCTGAACAGCCTGTGCCCACTGGGCCGCCCGGACGCTGCCTGGCTGCCTTTTCTGTATCCTCCCCTGGGACGTCCTCCTCCCTTCTGCTCTGCACCCGGCCCTGGGGGACTCTGCTGACGGCTCGCAAAGCTTGCTCTGCCGCCAACCTGTCTCTTCCATCCTGGCCTGTCTGACACCTCCTCTGGGGGTGGCTTGCCCCCCTGAACTGCCCGGGGCCCAAAACCAGCTCCCGCCTCCTCCCTTCACTTGCTGCGGTCACAGACGCCACCCGCCTCCCCAGCACTCGGGCCATAGCTCAATGCTCTGCTCCCGCCGCCTCGCCGAGATCTGGCCCTGGTGCTCAGACCCTCACTCTGCCCTGTCTGGATGATCGTCTCCCAGCACACGCTGCTACTGAACTCCAGCGTGCGCCGGTGGAATCGGATCACGCCCCTGCTCGCCCTCGTGTCCAGCTTTGCCGTGCCCCGTCCAGCCCCCCGCTCCCGGTCTCAGCTACCCATCCGTCAGATTGCCATGCAATGGGTCCTTGTGCTCCTCCCTGAGCCGCGCCCAGCCCAGCCCTGCCCGCACTGAAGTCCCTCTCAGACCCATTAGTGCTGGAGTCTTAGCAACTTCCCTACTGTTCCCTTGGTCCTTCCCCTGCCTCTGCCTGCAGGCTGGGAGCAGGGTCCTTGGTGCGTGAGAAGCCTGGTGCCTAGTGGGCATTACTGCAAATCCCTAGTGACTTGTGTGCTAGCACACCTGTCTAAAGCGATGCCGGGGTGGGCGAGAGGTAACCGCCACTGCCGGGGTTAATGGGCCCGTGGGCAGGAAGGAAAGACCCACCCAAATGGTAGAGCAGGAGCGAGTGACGTATTGTAGGAGATGTAGCAGCTGAGTCTATGGCAGGGCCAGGTGATTGTGGGGACTTCCTCTGTGCTAGAGTAACGTCCATCCAGGGGACTCCCAGCACGGACCAGACAGCCAGCTGATCTCTGCCCTAGGAAGGCTGTTAGCCCCACTGTACAGAGGAGGAAACGGAGGCAGGGGAGGTTGAAACCTTGTCCCTTTCAGCACAGTCCACGAGAAGCCAGTGGATAGTCTGAAAGCTCCAGCATCTGCAGAACCTGGCGCTTCATCTGCTGCGTCTGTTGGCTCAGAACTGGAGACAGCCAGCGGGTTGGGGGCTGGGTGGGAAGGAACAATTCCCGTGCTCACCCATGCCGGGGTGTCCCCAGGAGTCAGCGGCTGGAGTGGGGCTGAGACGGCACCTGCTGTGATCCTTTTGTGCGTCTCCATCACAGCGACGCTCTCCTTGTGTGCCCTTTGCCTGCAGGAAAACCACGAACTGCGCGCGTCTTCCATCGTTCTGTTCGGGAACCTGACCAAGTTCAGCGCTGGGAATTGCGAAGACGTCTTTTTTGAGCAGATCCTGAATGGGCTGGTGACGCTGCTGCTTCACCTCCAGGATCCAAGGCCAGAGGTCATCAAAGTGAGTGTCTTGCTGCTAGCTCGGAGGCAGCAGGCGTGTGGCTGGTGTCTGACTGCACAGCTCCTGGGACGATGCGGTTCTGGCGGGACACTACCGAGAGTATCAATTCAGGACCAATTGCTTAAACAGGACAGTTACAGCCCTAGGCTGGGGTTTCTCCACCTCTAAGGCAAACCAAACCAGCCAGACAGTGAAGACTTCTTGGTTTCACCCCACTGGCTAACCACAAGTCAGACAAGCAATTCCCTTAGACACACCAGTTTCCCAGTATCACCACCAGTGCTACTTGTTATGGGGACAAATGGTTATGAAAACCAATATCCCAGTAAAAGAAAAAGGTTCTCCTGATCCCAAAGGACCAAGCCCCAGACCCAGGTCAATATACAACTCAGATCTTACCCACAAATCACGCTGTTCCCAATCCTTTAGAATCTAAAGGTTTATTCATAAAAGGAAAAAGATAGAGATGAGAGTTAGAATTGGTTAAATGGAATCAATTACATACAGTAATGGCAAAGTTCTTGGTTCAGGCTTGTAGCAGCGATAGAATAAACTGCAGGTTCAAATCAAGTCTCTGGAACATCCCCAGCTGGGATGGGTCCTCAGTCCTTTGTTCAAAGTCCCTCCAGAGGTATGAAGCAGGATTGAAGACAAGATGGAGATGAGGCATCAGCCTTATATAGTCTTTTCCAGGTGTAAGAACACCTCTTTGTTCTTACTGTGGAAAATTACAGCAAAATGGAGTCTGGAGTCACATGGGCCAGTCCCTGCATACTTTGCTGAGTTACAAGGCGTATTTGCCTTCTCTCAATGGGTCAGTTGTAGCTGATGGTCCTTAATGAGCCATCAAGCAGGCTAGGCAGAGCTAACACCAACTTGTCTGGGATGTCACCCAGAAGCATAGCATAAGTTTGAAATACAGACAGTCTAGAGCCAATATTCATAACTTCAACTACAAAATTGATACACATATAGACAGCATAATCATAACCAGCAAACCATAACCTTGTCTTAAACACCTCATTTGACCCCCTTTATACAAGATTTGGTGCCACTACAGGACCTTGGTTGCAACCATGTTCTATATGGTCCCAGATTGTATCGATAACGTTACAACTCCATGCTGGCCTGTGGGCTCAGTGAGGACCGTGTCCTGCTAAGCGTTCCTATAGCTGGGAGTCTGGGACCGGGGGCTGTTGGTCCCTGGGAGTGGGGTGTCCTGTCCTGTCCTGCCAGGGTGAAAGGAGACGAGCGACTGGTGCGTTTCTGGTGACTGACACAGTGTTGCTGTCTCCTCCTTCTCGTCCGCCCTGTCCTGCAGGCCTGTAAATTTGCCCTGCGAATGTGTGGCCCCAACATGGGCTGTGAGGGACTCTGTGACATGTTCCTGAACCACCTGCACGAAGACCGCAGCCTGCATTACGGAGAGTTCATGAACGACGTCTGTAAGCACCTGGTGAGTGAGACTCTGGCTTCCCAGCAGGTGGAGTGAGCGGCTGAGAGCCCTGCGAGCGGTCGCTGCTGGGGCACGACTAACCTGCTCCAGCCCGCCCCGCTCTGGGCCTTTGCCGACACCCGGCACAGAAACACCAGAGAGCAGCATTTCCAGCCCAGGGAGCTGGAGGACCCAGAGCAGAGACCGTCTGGGACAGCAGGAAGGGGCTGAAGCCAGCGAGCGCTCCCCTGGCAGCGGTGACAGCGGCTTGGCCTGTCCCTTGACGGGGTGGGACCTTTCGAGAGTCCCGGCAGTCGGCCCTTTTCTGCTGCTCCAAAGGCGTGAACAGAAGTGCTGGCCAAGGGCGCAGAGGTCAAGGCTGCCTGGTTCAAACTGCAGCGCTGCATGCTGTCCATCTGGCCTTGGACGCTGTGACCCCCATGGACCTCCCGTCACCCACTCCCTCCCCAGGCCGGGGTGGGGACGGACAGTCTGCACTGCCCTCGACCTGTTCATCTGACCGGAACCGTCTCATGCTCCAGTGTTTCAACCAGTCGCCAGCAGGGGCGGGGAAGAACCTTTCCCTTCCTCCGAAGCCCCAGCTGGAGATGGGACCCTGGTGCTGAGCTGGTGCAGAGAACCCCTCTCTCATATGCCTGGCTGGTGGGTCTCCATGGGGGCTGGGAAGGGGTTTCTCCCAGCTCAGACTGGCAGGGACCAGAGGGTTTTTTGCCTTCCTCTGCAGCGTGGATCCGCCTGCAGGACCATCTGGGCACGTCACCTCTTCAGTTCCCTGCCGCTGGGGCACTGGGCGTTTTGCTGGCCTCTTGGTTTCTCCTCTCTGCCGTGGCACACGCCAGCATGGTGTCCTGAGCACTGAAGTGCTTTAGTTTCACCGAGTCCTCGGGCTGCCCATGGGGGTGAAACGTACGGCCAGGGATCTCCCAGAGGGCAGAGGAGATGCCTTGAGGCCAGAAGAGACCATTACACTCTCTGAACCTCGCTGAGCACACCAGTCCCTCTTCTGTCAGCACGGCAGGCTGCCCCCTTGTCCACTTCCGACCGGGGCTCCCGGCTCTGACACTGTGGGAGGCACGTGCCCTGGAGCAGAGCTGCCTGGGAGGGGGCCCAGAGTAGCCGGGTAGCTCCTGAAGCGCCCCGGCCAGTCGCTGCCATGCCCATAGCACACTCTGCTCCCCAAAGGGAGCTCTCCTGCAGCCGACCGCCTACAGAGCCGATTCTCTGCTCGCCCGGCCTTCCCTCCCGGTCCTATTGTGCCTTAACGTGGTCCCTTGCCACAGGAGCCTGGGCATGTTCATACGAAACCAACACAGCCCACGGGGGGGCTTGCCCAGCGGGGGTCTGTGCTGGGGATGGGATGGCGGTGGTCCGGTGGGGGCTGGAATGCCTCAGCCCAGGAAGCGGGGTGCCTCGGGGAGCCCAGCTCATTCTCATCACCTTGGTTTTCTCTTTAGATGCAGAACTACCCAGAGATGCTGAATCGTTTGATTTCAACCAACCTCTTCTACTTCAAGAGCAACTGGGTTGACATTCGAGCAGCAGCGCCCATGTTTATTGGTAAGGTTGCCTTGGCGCTGTTCCCACGTCGGCACTACTCCTGCTGGCTGGGACTGGCAGAGGGGTTTGAAAGTCACTGGCGTTTGGGTGCTTAACTCTCTCTCTGTGTTTGGGGGGTGGGGTGGGGGGGAGCTGCGAGATTATGGGGGCTTCAGTCTGAGTGGCACCTGCTGGAGGTCTCATGCGGCCAGTATGGAAACATCCTTGGAATTTCTAAACATGCTAGATGGGCATTTCCCAACTCAGAAAGTGCTGCAGCTGACATGTGGAATTGTTTTAGACCTTGTGCTGACCGATACGGAGGGACTGATCCCAGAACTAAACATTACTGGTAGCTCAGGTGCAAGTGACCGTGACTTGATCAAGCCGGATAAAGTCCAGACCAGTAAAATATTGACTTGGTGCTTCAATAGGGCCAATTTCACAAGGATGAAAACAATTATGAGCCAAACCAGCAGGGAGGAAGAATAGACTCAGAAATTGGTTAAGAACCCTTCGTCCGATGCACAGAACCCCACGGCTGAGGAAGAAGGCTGTATTGGTGACCAGACTGACACAGCTCACTGGGGGCGTGAAGGCAGCTATTTTTTGGAGGAAATCTGTTGCCAGCAGAGTTAGACAATAAGGAGTTTTTAAGTGTATGCGGAACAAAAAGAATGCGGCCCGTGGTATCAGTCCATTACTGGATGGAAATGGTAGAATAGCCACAAAGCAGGAGTTGTTCTGTATTGGGGAATAAAACCGATGAGGAGATGTCATGTCCTGTGATGATTCTCTCTCCAGTCCACTAGTATCTCAGGATAACAGCAGCTACTAAAGTTCGACATTTTTTAAATCAGCAGATTTGGATAACTTGCATCCAAGAGTCCTAAAAGAGCTGGCTGGCTAATGTTGTTTTTTTTTCAATACGTCTTGGAACACATAAGACTAGAGGAAAGCCGGTATTGAAAAAGGGTAAACGGGCTGACTCGGGTAATGAGAAGCCTGACAGTTTGATATCAGTCATGGGCAGCATAATGCAGTGGCTGATACAGGACTTGATAAAGAATTAAAGGAGGACTAGCTAATGCCAGGCAGCCTGGGTTCACAGGGAAACTAGATCCTGTCAAACTGTTTGCGGCGATGAGCAGTCTGGCTGCTAACCGTGGTCATGGGGTGTCAAGTTCTTGTGCTTCTGTTCGGTGTTGACTTGGTACCACACCACAGTCTGAAGAAACTAGATCAACATAAGCATCATGGCACATGTTACGTGGATTAAAAACTGGCCGATAGGTCTGGGGAGGAGGAGTCCTTGAGCGGGCGTATTTCTAGTGGGGTCCCACAGGGTGGGTTCTTGGCCCTAGGCTAGTGAACATTATTTTTTATTTTATTTTTAATCCGTGACCTGGAAGAAAACATAAAATTGTCACTGAAGTTTGCAGAGGATACAGAAGTTGGGGGAGTGGTCACTGATCTAGAGCGCACGGTGTCGCTGGGTACGCTGCGTGCAAGCAAACGTGCACGTTAGTGTGGCTACGGGTAAATGGAACATGTTGGGACAAAGGCTGTTGGCCAGACTTACCGGCTGGGGCCTCGATCCTGGGAAGCAACGACTCTGAAAGATGTGGGGGTCCTGATGGATAATCGGCTGCACATCAGCTCCCAGCGCAATGTGGTGGCTAATGGGATCCTTAGATGCATGAACGGGGCAATCTCGAGGAGCAGCAGAGAGGTTCTTGTACCTCTGTGTGTGGCCCTGGGGCGAGCGCTGCTGGGATCCTGGGTCCAGTTCTGGGGTTCATGGTTCAAGGACATTGATAAAGTGGGGAGGGCTCAGACACCAGTCGAGAGTGATTACAGGGCTGGAAACCTGCCTTAGAGTGAGACTTGAGGGGCTCAGTCTCCGCAGCTTAACAGACGTCTAAGGGGTGAGTTGGATCAGTCTATACATACCTGCACGGGGAACAAACACTGGATAACAGGCTCCTCAGTGTAGCAGACAAAGGTCTATCACGCTCCTGTGGCTGGAAGTTTGAAGTCAGACCAATTCAGACTGGGAAAAAAGGGATGTGATTAGCCCTTGGGCCGATCACCAAGGGTCGTGGTGCAGTTCCCATCACTGGATTTTTTTTTTAAGCTCTGCTCTAGGGTTGATGATAGGGCTGGTCTGTGGCCGGTGCTGGGCAGGTCAGACTGGATAATCACTCGGGTCCCTTCTGGCCTTGGGATCTGGGAAATTCCCGTCCCCCGCTCCTCGCGGATCAGCGACGCTCCTGGGAGAGGGCTGCACTCGTGTGCGGCAGCGGCTGCTCTGCAGGCCCCCGAATTCTCATGGGACCCGGCCAGGTTAAACGAGGCCTCAAAACCCTGCGCTGCAAACTCAGCCGTAACTTTCACTCTTCTGACTCCAGGCTTCCTCGTTCTGCACGTGGCCGAAGAGCATTGTAAGCAGGTGGACCTGGACCAGCTCCTTTGCTGTGAGTAAGAGCGGCCCTTAGCCGGGCCGGGAGCTGTGGGCCGAGCACGGTGGGGGCTGGGAGCGGCGGGTGAAACGGGAGGGAGATCGCAGTGCGGGAAGGCAGGGCTGGGAGAGAGTCTCTTGGCAGGGCCCCAGCGAGGTTACTGCACCGGGCAGCTGGGGGTTAATGAGCCAGGCCTGGGGCCGGAGCAGCTTCGCCTTCCAGTTCATTGCGGTCATTTCGCGTCGCGCCGCACCTCTGCTCCGGGCTATAGACCCCTGTGCTGGCGCGGCCTAGGCAAGGGCCTCCCCACTAGGGCCAGGCTGGGTGCTGGGCTACGGGACAGTTGGTCTTGGCCCACCTTGACTTCAGAGTCCAAGGTTGTTCTGAGCAACAGCAAAACCCCCTGCCGGGGACGGGGGGGGGGGTTCTGCCCTCGCCAGGCCCGCCTGCAATAGCAAATATTCCCCTCTCCAGTGCGGGTCTGTAGGGCCAGCTTGTACGCCGTGTACGAGAGCTGCGCTAGGTCCTTGCCCCGTGCTCAGACAAGAGGCCCCGCAGGCCCCTTGGTGCCTCCTGCAGAACAGATCCCAGCTCCCTTCTCCTAGCTGGTCTCCCAGGGGCCTTTCCCTCCGTTCGCCCCGGGAACGCTGCCCTGGGGCTGCAGGGCTCTGCTCCCCGCGTTTGGGGCCAGGGAGGCTCATGTTAAACACGAGCCTGGCTGGACGAGGGCCTGCGCGGGCTGTCGCCAATGCTTCAGGCCTTGACGCCCGGGGCTCCAGTCCTGGGGAGGGGGCTGGGGACAAGCTGCTCCCTACGGGTCATTGCCGGGGCTGTGCAGGCTGGTGTGCTGGCAGCTTTGTCACGAGCCCGTCTCCTGCCATGGGGTGACCTGGGCCAACAGGCACTGATCACTGGCTTCTGGCTGGCCTGGCTTGAAATTAGTGGGGCCTGGAGCTCGTTCGTTAATGAATCAGTTTGTATTACTGGAGTGCCTGGCAGCTCTAGGCATGGCCCAGGAGCTCGCTGCGCCAGGTGCTGTACGCACACAGATGGGAATTTAAGTCCCACACAGATTGGAGAGGCTGCAGAAGCAGGGAGCCGGGGCTGGTCAGCATGGCAGGTGCTGGTCTCAGCCCCCCGGGCCTGACTCCTCGGGGTTTTGTCAGTGTCACCGTAATGGAGCGTTGTGGGGAGGGGGAGCTCCTCCCAAGGCTGAGGGGCAGCCGCCGCGGAAGCATGAAGGGGTTTGTTTGGCAGTGGAGGCTGGTGCCATGGGCTTGGAGAGAGCGCTTGGCCCGTGAACGAGATGACAGGCTGCTGGGGGAGTGGGGAATAGCTCGGGAAAGGCCTTGGGAATGAAGCCAAGTAGCTGTTGTCTGTGACGGAGCCGGGGGGGGACCTGGCTAGGAGCGGGATCGTGGCAGCACTATTTGGAGTGGGCATGGGCGGACGGCTGCGTTTGTCCAGGCCGGAGGGAAGGGTTTGCAGCAATTGAGGTGTGACGTGGGGGCTGGGCAGGGCAGGCTGTGGTGTGGATGGAAGGGCCTGCACACCAGGCTGGCTGGCAGAGCTGGCCGTAGTGACCGGGGAGCTGGCTCGCGCTCAGCCGTGTTGTTTGAGCTGGTGACGAGAGGCCCTGAGGAGAGCTCGGGCGGCGGAGACGCCCGTTCGGGCAGGAGGAGGCTGGCGGAGAGAGCTGGAGCTGGGCGCGGTCACAGAGACGGGAGCTGAGTGTTGTGGATGAGATTAGAGAGGGGACCAAGGACGGAGTCTGGGGAACCCTCACAAACAGCAAGGGCTGGTCTACTCTAGACATGAGCTCAACCCAGCTACGTGTGAAAAATCCTCCCCAGCGATTTCAGCCGAGCCAGCCGAAGGGCCTGTGTGAACAGCCCTAGTTCCATCCGCTTGGCTACTGCCTCGGGCCGGATTCCCGGGCAGAGCCCCCCGGCCCTGGGCAGCGTCTGGGCTGCAGTGGAGATGAGCCCGAACATCGGTGCAGCACACTACGGCCAGCCGGGGCTGTGGGGGGGATGCTGCGGAACGCTGCAAATGACCCCAAGCCACAGACTGGCCTAGGACGTCCGAGCGGGGACAGGGAGTATCATATTGAGTGGCTGCTACGGGCAGAGCCCGGATCGGATCTGGCTGGAACTCTGGCCGTAGCTAGAACGCCCCCAGAGGAGTGTCGTGGCGGGGCAGATGGCAGAAAAGGTGCTAAGGAAAATCCTCCCTCTCCTGGACTGTCTGCGTGGTCCCGGGTAACGACCCAGGGGGATTCCAAAGAGCCTTCGACAAAGTCCCTGAAGGCTCCTGGCCTGCCTGGGGCCTGCGCCCTGTGGCCGCCTCTTGCATGTTACCGCCAGAGGTGGCTACAGTGCGTAAGGCTCTGATTTTTGGCTTGGAGATTTGTAGTCCGTCTCACAGCAGAGGGGGGTGTCTTCGGGGGCTCGTCACTGAAGTCCCTGCCAGTGCGGGTGCTGGCCGGTGAGGCCCGGGGGCGAGGCGGGTTGGAGAACAAGCCCTCCCTGCAGCAGCGACTCCTGGCCCACGGGCTGGTCCCTGCTCCTGGCCCACATGGTCACAGCCCCCCTCTGGAGGTGTGAACAGGCCAATCCAGAGTGGGGCTGTGACCCTGTGTGCCCTGCTGCAAGGCCACTCGTCTTCACAGCCTGGTTTCCTTGACCTCTGACAATCGTAGCCCACTGCGTGCCAAGGTCCTGGCGAGCTGTCTGCAGGGCTTGCTTGGCCACTGCCTTGAGCGAGGTGCTAGTCGCTTAGCAGCGGGGTTGTGACCTTCAGTCCCCCAGCAGCTCCGTTCCTCTCCGCTGAGCTGGGGCAGGGGCTTGGATCAGCAAGTGAGGGTTTGCTTCGCCCGAGCGCTCTCTGTGATGGGCACAGCTGTGTGCGTTGTGAATAACCGCTGCCGATGCTGGGCTCCGGAGGAGACTGCCCCAGCACAGAGCCGAGCGTGGCACCAGCGCTGGCCAAGTGGCCGGAGGCTGAAACTCCAGCTCCTGTCTGTGGCATCGCAGGCTGCAGCCCGGGCGTTGGCTCAAAGCGCGTGTGGCATTTGCAGCGTTGGCGCGTAAGGAAGGGCAGGGTTTGCTTGTAACGTGTTCATTGTTAAAAGGCCCAGCTCCAGCTCGTTAGAAAGGACTAATAAAAAGTCCAATTGAAGCTGGTGGCATTTTGGAGCTGAGTTAAGTAATTTTCCTGGATTTCAGGGATTTTTTCCCTGTCACTAGTGACCTCATAGTGTATCGTAATGCATGGAAACTCTTGGATTGTTCCAAGAGAGCTTAAAAAACACTAAAAAAGGAAAAAGTCTCTTTCCGTTGGCTCCCGAAGCCCTTCCAGCAGCGAGGGGCCTGTCTGTTTGAAACAAGTGAAAGAGAAGACGTGTGTCTGTGAGTAATCGCTGGAGTTAGCAGCGTTGGATCAGGTTGCTCGAGCTTCCCGTATTGAGTGGATTAGCTGACTGGGGTCCAGGGACAGCTCCGGGCTCTGATTTACAGCCCAGCCCCCGGGGGCACCCCCGCGCTAGCCCAGGCTAATCACCAGGGCGGCTGGAACAGGAAGCGAGTCGGCACATAAATCAGGGACCTTCATCCATGCTAATGGCAGAGGGGATCTGGAGGGACGGGGGGCGCCCGGCTTTGTAAACAAGCTACTGGAAAAACGTCGTTATAGCTTCACTGTGAGGAAAAACTACCTGGCTGGGCCTGGGCGCGGTGCTGTGAACACTGGTGGGGTCACGTCGCCCCCTGGCCATGGGCACCCCGTAGTTCTTCCCACCTGGCTCCTGCCTGCTCTGGCCGGCTGTGTGTGCCCCAGCATGGGGGCCCGTCGGCGCTAGCAGGGGAGAGTCCGGCGAGGGGACGCTGGCGAGCAGAACGCCTCAGCGTCACTAGGCCAGAGACCCACTCACGGCTTCGGGCTGCAGCACTTGCCTAAGGCTTCCTGCTGCTCACTGGGGAAATCGTAACCCAGAGCAGGCCAGGGCCTGATGTGCCCGCTCCCCTCCCGGAGTGCGTGGAACAGAGTCCGCTCAGCGCTTGCCCAGCGGCCGGGGGCCTGCTCTGGATGGCTAGTGCCCAGGAGTCCGACCCACGCGCTGGGCTGGGCTGGGCAGGGCCCAGCGTGGAGTCTGCAGTGAGATGGCATCGCTGCCTCGCTGGGTTCTCCTCAAGGGTCCAACCCCCCTTAGTGCTGGGGCGGGGCATGAAGTGAGCAGTGACCCCGCCAGGCTGCTTGTGGGTGTGCCCCGTAGCACAGCTTGGGCACTGCTGCAGTCTGGTGCTGTGCACCCAGAGCACCCCCTGCCCCGCCCAGCTCAGGGTGGGTCCTGGGAAACAGGCAGAGCGCCCGGGGGTGGGCCCAGCTTCACATGGGGCTCACGCGTCTCCCTGGCGAGCCCTGCTTTGCCACAGCTGCCCCGTGTGACCCTGGGCCAGTCACGCAGCCTCTGGGCTTAATTTCCCCCTCTGCAAGGGGTGAGCCCTGCCCTACCTCCTGGGGCGGAGGGGTTCAGACTGCCATGATGGGGCCGGCCAGATCAGTGCATGGGGGGGGGGGGGTCCTACCGCCCTGCCTGGCTCCCCTCAGGCTGTGGGGGTGGCCTGTGTGGACGCTCTAGGAGGAGCCGGTGCCAAGGCTGGTCCCGCTGCTCGTTTTGGGTAATGGATGTTGTGCTCCGGAGGAGGCTTCGCCAGGGGCTGTGCAGGGCCGAGGCAGCTCCTGCTGGGGAGGAGCACTGCCCCGTAGGGTGGAAGGGGGGAGGCCAAAGGGTCGCTTGTGCCCGGGGCTCTGGGGGAGGGGCCATGGCCCCGCTTTGGGGAGCGGAGGTGCTGCCCCCGGCTGGTCAGGCTCGATGCCTTGGGGCCGTGCCCTGACCTCCAGTGCAGGGAGGCGTGTGGGGCACGGCTGGGGCGGGTGTGTGCCAGCTCCGTTGGAATGAGGCTGGTTCCCCGGGCTCGCGGCTGCTAGTCACGCGCTCTCGTTCCAGCTCTCAACGTGCTGCTGAAGGACCCGGCTCCCGTCGTCCGCATGAAGGTGGCTGAGACTCTGGGCCGCCTGGTCCGGGTTGTGTGAGCGGCAGATGGGACCTGCGGGCGCCCGGGCTCCGTGACCGCGATCAGGTCGATGGATGTTCCTCCCCCTGGAGATGCCACGTCTTCCAGTGCCCGGAACCGGTGCCTTGTGCAGCGCCACGCCTGCTGCACCTCACTTCGCTGCCTGGAGCAGGGGCCTCGTGCGGCTTCTCCCCTATGCAGCCTGGAGGACTCCGCCCTTCCCAGCGGCCACGGGAGGCTCCGCTGTGGCTGCTGGTTCAACCGTCACTGTCCCCGGCTCTCTGACAGCCTTTCCCGCGATGTGCACTCACCACGGGCACTCCCTGAGCTACCAAACTGGGCAATAGGACACGGAACTGTTCCGGGGTCAGCCCAACATGGGATCCACCCCCGCTGAGCACAGCCCCTCTGGCTTGCCTGGGTCGCTGCCCTGGCACGAGAAGGGCAGGCACCAGCCCCGCTGAGGCCCTGGTGTCATTGCATGTTCTAGGGCTGGTCGTCTCACACCAATCGCTCCTATGCAGTCACTGGGACATGTGACTGTTACAGTCTGACTCTGGTTCGCACCGGCCTGGGCGCTGCACAGCCTGGGGTTAGATGGGGCGCCCTGCCCTGGTGGGGTCCCTGGATGGCCTCTGAGGACCTCCCCTCCCCTGGATGTCCTAGGAGGGTGAGGAACCTCGGCCATCACTGCACATGCACCTTCCTTCCACTGTTGTTCCGCAAGTGAGCCAGCGAGCTGCCCCCGGAGTCCTTGGCACTGCCCGGTGCTTCTCCCTGGGCCCCCCGCCTGCAGCTGTGTCTGCGGGCAGCGGTGTGCGCTGAGTTCTCTGCTGGCTGAGTGGAGCTGTCCCCTCCACATGGAACGTGTATAGAAACCAGACTGTATGTATTTTTTAATAAAGCTGTTTGCTTCTGGTAGAGCGGCTGGTGCTGGAGTCTCATTGCCAGACTTGCTGGAGCCTGCCCTGGCTTGTCTGGGTGCTGCTAAGGGCGTGTTGGGGGGACTTGGAGCCTGGCCTCCCAGGGGGGAGCGCTGGCCTTGGAGATCTCAGGGGAGCAATTTGCTCCCCTATCAAATTACTCGCTCGGTGGAAAAAGGGGCTGCAGGCTGGTGTGTGAAAGGCAGGTGCGCCAGGCCCTTGCCCGCACCAACAGCTGTGCTTGCTCCCTGCTTCAGCACCACAGGCCAGGGCCGAGCTGTACGGGGAGCTGGGGTGGAGGGCGGGCCCCTGGGCAGATCCTGCCTCTTCCTCACCCCACAGCAGGGGCCTCCAACCTGGCCTGACACAGGCCAACCACCTGCTCAAGTGCAGTTCAAGGGCGACTAACACCAAGTGGTGCCTGTTGGAGGGGAACATTGAAACTGCCCTGTATGTTCCGGGGGCTAAATGAATGATCAACAAGCCTTGTGGATGGGGGGAAGCAGTAGACGTGGTGTATCTGACTTTAGTGAGGCTTTTGATACTGTCTTGTACGACCTTCTCATAAACAAACTAGAGAAATACAACCTAGATGGAGCTGCTCTAAGGTGGGTGCATAACTAGTTGGAAAACCGTTCCCAGAGAGTATTTATCAGCAGTTCAGTCATGCTGGAAGGACCTAATGAGTGGGCTCCCGCAGGGATAGGTTCTGGGTCTGGTTCTGTTCAATATCTTCATCAGTGATTTAGCTAATGGCACAGAGAGCACACTTCTAAAGTTTGCTGAGGATACCCAGCTGGGAGGGGTTGCAAATGCGTTGGAGGATAGGCTTAAAATTCAAAATGATCTGGAGAAATGGTCTGAAGTCAATAGGATGAAATTCAATCAGGACAAATGCAAAGTGCTCCACTTAGGAAGGAGCAGTCAGTTGCCACATACAGAATGGGAAATGACTGCTTAGGAAGGAGTCCTGCGGAAAGGGATCTGGGGGTCAGAGTAAATCACAAGCTAGGTATGAGTCAGTGTAACACTGTTGCAAAAAAAAAAAGAACCTCATTCTGGGCTGTATTAACAGGAGTGTTGTAAGCAAGACACGAGAAGTAATTCTTCTGCTCTACTTCGTGCTCATTAGGTCTCAACTGGAGTATTGTGTCCAGTTCTGGGTGCCACATTTCAGGAAGGATGTGGACAAATTGGAGAGAGGCTAGAGAAGAGCGACAAAAATGATGAAAGGTCTAGAAAACATGACCTGTGAGAGAAGATTACAAATATTGGGTATGTTTAGGCTGGAGAAGAGAAGACTAAGGGGGACATACCTTTTCAAGTACATAAAAGGTTGTTACAAAGAGGAGGGAGAAAAATTGCTCTCCTTAACCCCTGAGGACAGGACAAGAAGCAATGGGCTTAAATTGCAGCAAGGGAGGTTTAGGTTGGACATTAGGAAAAACTTCCTACCTGTCAGGGTGGTTAAACACTGGACTCAAGTGCCCAGGGAGGTTGTGAAATCTGTCATTGGGGATGTTTAAGAGCAGGTTGGACAAACACCTGTCAGGGATGGGCTAGACAATAGTCCTGCTGTGTGTGCAGGGGACTGGGTGAGATGACCTCTCAAGGTCCACTCCAGCCCTATGATACCTCAACACCCAGTGCCCTGAGTTGACAGCCCCGGGAGCCCTCTGCCGTCAGTAACACAAGCCTCAGATGCCTGTGGCCAGAGGTGGGCCCCTGGTGCAGTGCTGGTCACCCCCTCACACAGGAGGCAGCTGCGTGTGGCTTCAGACAGGTGATGAGACAGGCCAAAGGCCTGGAAAAACTTGTGAAAGGTTGGGCTGGCTTATAGTAGAGAAAAGTTAATACTGCCTGGCTACCAGAGGGCTGTCCCGAGCACCTACACCAGGGGTAGGCAACCTATGGCACGCGTGCCGAAGGCGGCACGTGAGCTGACTTTCAGTGGCACTCACACTGCACGGGTCCTGGCCACTGCTCCGGGGCGCTCTGCATTTTAATTTAATTTCAAATGAAGCTTCTTAAACATTTTTTTAAAAACCTTATTTACTTTACCTACAACAATAGTGTAGCTATATATTATAGACTTAGACAAAGAGACCTTCTAAAAATGTTAATATATTAGTGGCACCCGAAACCTTCAATTAGAGTGAAGAAATGAAGACCTGGCCCACCGCGTCTACCAGGTCACCAGTCCCTGGCCTACACTATCTCTTCACGCACAACAGGGACTTCTGATGAAACAGAGGATTTGAAACCATTCTGAGGAAACCCTTGTTCATGCCATGGGTAATTAGACTGTGGAACTCATGGCCACAGGACATAGCTGAGGTAAAGCTTAAGCTCAGGACGTGCCTAAGGCCACAGAGCTGGGCCCCTCCAGCTCCTCTCTCCTACAGGAAAATGGCTGTTGGCTGGGTTGGTTCCTGCTGGCAGGTGCTGGCTGGGCACGGGGGCCTGTGCCACCATGCGGGGTGAGGGGCTAGGCAGGGGGACCTTTCCCTAGCAAGCTGGGGCCAGGCAGGGGCAGACAGGGCCTGGCTATGACTGCTGGCCTGGCGCTAGACCATGCACGGCCAGGCAGAGCTGAGCTGTGCCCCTGGCAGGGTAGCTGAGGGGCTGCTGTGGTTTGTCACAGTGTAGCTATAAACTGGGCCTGTGATCCTAAATCTCTGGGTGAGTCTCACCCCCCTGGCCGGGACAATGGGCCTGAGCCTGGGGGCGGGGGGCGTGAGCTGTGTGTCCAATGCTGGTGCTGTTACTCTCCTCCTCCTCCTCCCCTCTCCCCCCCCCCCCCCCCCCCCCCGCCTGGAGTTGCCCAGGCTGGGTCGGGCCTGAACAAGGGCTGGATGATTCCTGGGGCAGGGCTTACAGCTCTGCCTGATTGCACTGGGCACCCTGCAGGCAGCCCGGACTCTGGAGTGGAGCATCTCACCTGCTCTACTGCGAAGACAGGCAGAGTGCTGGTGCCCTGAGCCTGCAGCAGGGCTCCTGGGCCCTTAGCGTAAGCTCCCAAACTGCATGAGTGTCTCATGACCAGCGGTGATACAATTAACCAGGCTGACAGTCTGCGTTGCCAGTAGGCTTCAGAGTGAACATCCCATTGCGGTGAATGGCAGCAGCTCAGCGGCTGGCGCTGGGTCACTGAGAGCCGGCTTTAGTGGCAGGGGGGAGGTGGGCAGAGCCTGCAGGGCCCTGCTGTGGAGAGCAGCTGGAGCGGGCTGGGGCGTTCGCACGTGCTGGCGTGGTCCTGCCCGTGGCTGACTCATTCTTTCCATCCCAGCAGCAGCCTCTACCTGTTCCTCCTCCTCAACCTCGGCCAGGCGCTGCTGCTGCTCGGCAGCCGAACAGGAATTCCTCAGCTGGCTTGGCCTGGCTTCCCGGGGGGGGCCTGGCCCTTTCCCTGGCCGGCTGGGGGCAGCAGGGTCCTGCCAGAGCAAAGCATCTGACTTTTTCCACTTGTTAAAGTTCTTGCCCAAAGGCCGGCCGCTTTATTGCTTTCGTCTGGCTCTGGGGCTGGGGCAGCGTTTCCTGGGGCACGCACAGCGGGCCCTACTCCCTGCCCCTTACTGTGCCCAGCACTGAGAGGCCACGGCCTGGCCCCACTCTGCCCAGTGGCGATGAGCGTGTTGGAGCTGGGGTCAGAGGGCAGCTTGTAGTGAGCCCATGTGCCGGGGGGAGCAGTCCTGAGCTCCAGGCTCGGCTGGTCACTGGCCCCAGCTCTGGCTGTTCCTGCGCCACGGGGCCTAGTGCCCACTGGCACCACGTACCTGCCAGCATGGGAGGAAGTGGGTATGGCCCTAGCTGGGCTCAGTGCCTTGGGGGGGGGAGAGGGGAGACAGAGCTAAGGGCCTAGGGCCAGGCAGGTGCTTTCGAGGGAGGCAAGGTCCTGGGGTGACTGGAAGGGGAGGCCCTGGCAGGGGTGGGTGCTGGAGGATGGTTGAGGCTGGGAAAACTGGGGGGGGGCGGGGGGCAGAGGGAAGTACCTGGAGTGGGTTTGTGCTGGGGGGGGGGGTGGGGGCATGCAGCTCCTGGCCAGAGGGGCAGAAACCAGAGTCCTCTCGGCCACTGTCAGCAAACATCTGCTCTGGGAGCTGGAGCCAGCGGGGAGACTGTCCTGGCCAGGGGTGGGGGGCTGGCCTGACCCAAGAGCTGCTCCCAGCGCTGGTGGGGAAGGGGGGGCTGGGGCCCCGTGTGCCAGCAGGCTCAGGTACCAATTT